AAAAAGAATATGGAAATCTGGAGAATACTGCAATTGACGTAGCAATAGAGGAAATCCTCACTTCATGAACTAGACATCGGCTCTAGTGTAGAATTGGGTGCCCTTTCGATTAGCGACATTTTTTTAAAATTTTGGCTATGAAACCTCACTTCTGGTTACCGTGATAGTTTTAACTTTTTTTAGCTTGCTGATTTTATTTAAATGAAAATAGATTGATGTGTATATGGACAAATTTAAGGCAGTGCGCAATGCCTAGAGTTTGTGCAATTCTAGGATGTTTTTTAGTGAAAGCAGATCGATGTGTACATGGACACAGAGTTTGTGCAATTCTTTGACTTCTTATTTTGGTTTTTTTGTAGCGGCCATCTTGAAATTGTGCCTTCCTGGCGCCGCTCTTGGCGTCAAAAAAGAATCGCCAACAAACAAGGGGCACCCAATTATAAACTTTTACCAAGACATCTAATAATGAATACGAAAAATGACCAAAACCGCAATCTGAATTATAAGCTCCAGGATATGTAATTAAAGCCTGGCATTCTATAAGTCGAACGAAGGTAAGGAAACGGAATACGGCTTTCAATGGGTTCAAGGTAAATTTACGTACGTGAGAAGATTCCAGAATTATTGGAAAACAAAGCTCCAAAATTGTCTGATGAGGGAGGGGAAAAAGTGTAAACGAAATCAAAGGTTCTAAATGAAACTATATTTTACGCACCTTAAGTAAGAGGAAAACAACAAAAATTCCCATGCAGCTAGTCCATTCACCCGCGATTTGAAACCAGTCTCCACTATAGTTCAGAGGTTTTACTGTTCTTTAACTATTGAACTTTCATTTCTTGAACGTGTAATTCCATTTTGTTATTTTCGCTAACTGCAAATACTGTAAAATACGTTATTGGTTTGAAAATATTTTACTCATCTCATCTGTACTGAACCTTTAGTCAGGCCTTTTATTATAAAGTATGCATTTATGCACTGTTTGTATCGCACTAAAATGACTACATGAGACATATTTCTACAGCAAGACACATTGCCTCCAGAATTTCTTGTATCTTAGCCTATTTTTTCCTAGAATGTCTTCCACGAAGGGATTCCTTCCGTTAGGCAGATAACCCTTAACTGTTTTGCCATGATTAAACAATCCAGTAATCGTAATTTTTTATTGAACAAATTTTAATCATATTTCATAATTCTTTCATCTTAAATCCTTCGTATTTACAACCAAATTATCGAGTGTTTTCTTGAATTTTCAAAGAATTAAATTTTCAAAATCGCTTTAATATGCATTTTGAGAATTTAGAGTGTCATTACATAGCACTGTATAGCCATATATCTTGTTACTTCTTTTACAGTAATTATGTGCTTATCTATGTAGTATTAGCAGTTAAAGTTCTGGTTATTATGTATTTTTATATAAGCAGACTTTATGTCTGCTTATATAAAATAATATGTTTTATGTATACTTTTCCCAAAGAATTTAGAGCCCAGGTCTGAAGGATCTTTCTTGTAAAACGCAGTTTTTATTACTTTTCTATTTTTGAATAAAATCTAATTTTTTGGACCACTTTGCTTCTATAATTGTAGGAAAACTGGGAATATATATTTAGTCTTTTACAATAACAACAAATGTTTTGATGATCTCACGATCAAATATATATATTTTTGCAATAGTATTCGTGTTTTTAAATCTGTCTTTCTATTTAAAAGGATTGTTTAAATAGCAAAGCATCAGAAATATTATATAAAGCAATAATATTTCTATTCCCTCCTCCCAGTTTGATTCGTATTTTCTAAACAATGGAGAGGAATTTCTTTTCAAATTCAGATAATGAAACATTTTACTAAATTCTAAGATTTGAAATTTTAAATAATAGTTCTCGTATTCTTCACTATATATTTTGATCTTTCTGCAAAAACAATATTTGCTCTATTCATTACTAACCTTTGAGGCGTATTTTTACACTTTTTTGGATTATAATTCCAGATTCTTGCACATTTCTTTTAAAATGGCGTTGGGTTTACAATCTATATTTTTAAATATTTAAATTTTTGTTTAATTAAGTTCAAATTGATATTTAGCCATTTAGTATTATTTTTTGCATTCATCTCTAGTTGAAAATCTGCAACAAAGAACAAAACACATTTTTTTTTTCCGAAATACCCTCTGATTTCTCAAAAAAGAATGGGTCGCTATAAATTCAAATAACTATACGTTTCTTAACAGTAATCTAATATTTTGAACTCATATTAAATGATAATTATATTAAATGCTCAAATGATTCAAAAGTAACAAAAATACTTGGAAAAGTTTGTTTTCTTTATAACTACATTTGACTTGAAATTCACCATTTGTTGTTCCAGGATCTAAACACATGTTTTTCTTAACATATGACTTTCCCATGTTTCAAAATAATTCCTTTTTTTGTCACAATTCCTATGAACTATACCATTCAAGAAAAACATCTTTCTATTTACGACACATTTTTAAGAAAACTATTATGAATTTCGATATGAGATTTTTACATACGATTACGATTAAACGAAGAGAAATTTGCTGAAAGAACGTTGTGTTTTACATATAGAATATGTTCATGTCGCGAATATGATTAAATTGAAATGATTATTTATAAAATATGCTTAAATGGCTTTAAAAATCAGACGAAAAAAAATTGTATGCAGCACGCATTTATTGTAAAGCAAAAAAAAAGCTGTATATCAAGTGAAGATATATGAAAGGTGAGTATAATAATGCATGAGTGATTAGGGAAAGTATAATCATAATTGAAGCGATATTTTCAATTTCAAAAATGATAAGTGCCTAATTTTCCTCAGTATAAGAATAATAAAACATATTATATGTTATTTTCAAACTCTTATATACTACAATTCTACAATATCAAGAACTTTATAAATATCGAAAAAAGCAAAATAGATCAGTTTTTAGTATCTTGCATGATATCTTGGCAATGGCCGTATGCGATCTTCTTTTGGAAAAGAAAAATTAAACAAAGAAACACAGCTATTAATTTTGTAATTGGCATCATCAACATCCATATGAAAAACAAAAATTTAATCCGTTTTATTCCGAAGCTTATAATATTTGTAATTAAGTAATGTTAATGAATTTTCCTTCAATGTACAACCAACCAATGAATTAATACTAGAAAGCAATATATCTTAGCAAATAAAATTAAAATATAATGTAAAATTCTATCTCGAATTCTGTTCGAGGTTAAATGGTAATAGAAAAATGCGTAATTGGTCTATGGTACACTTAAGTAACTACCCCATTTCCATGATGACATTTAACAGAAAATCATTGATCAGCAGGCATACATAATGCTTCAGAAAATCTACGTGTATATTTTGCATATTTTATAACAATGAAAAGCATTGCGTTTTCTTTATTTTAAAAGAGTATCATATGCAATATGATTGTGAATTACTGTTCTTTAAAAAACAGTGCAAATACAGCATATAAAATAATTAAATAATAACTGTCAAATTATTCGTCAATACTAAAAACAAATTCTTTTATAGAGTTAGTCAATACTAAAAACAAATTCTTTTAGAGAGTTAGTCAATATTAAAAACAAATTCTTTTAGAGAGTTATCGTAACATCAGAATGCGTTTAAAATAACGTATTTCCTTGAAAAATTATTGTTTAATATTATAAAATTGGCATGAATATTAAATAGCAATTGTAAACATTTCTGCTGTAAAAAGAATTGTATTTAGTATTAGTAACATCTTCAGTGAAGAACTTTACAAAATTTTTGCACCGTTGTGTTACGTTATGTTAGTTTTTGTCATCCTCGCGACTTCATAAATTTTACCATCGGACGAAACATACAATCTTTACCTTTCAAGCGGCTTGACAACTAGCCAGTTCTCAGAGTGTTGCCATTTAACGACTATAATATCTTTAGTTTTTAAATTTAATCATTCTAAAATTGCTTGATGAACTCATAATTTTTAAAACCGTTAAATGTACTTCTTAGTAACTTAAATCTTTATTTTAAAGTTAATGATACATCTGACTGATAAAATTAAAATACATTTAATTTATAATGCATCTAAATGATAAATTTTCTGAAACTTTTAAACATTTTTCTTTAATAAAAGGTATTTCTAACGCTATGCAGTACATGCGTAAGTACAAAGTCATTTGTAAATGTTTTAAACGTGAAACAATTTCAGAAATGACATGCTCTGACAAATTGCAGTCATTATTAAAATTTGTTTATGATTTGCATCTAAAATATGTAGGAAAGTTTCAAAATATTTTTAAGTATTGTTTAAATAATCATTATTGCAGTGCATGTCAGCAATTTCGGATGAAATTCTGCAGACAGCATGCCAAATGTAAACACTAAAATGTCGATAACATTATTATGTTGGTTGAGCGTTTCTCATGTACAGCAATCATTTTATTTAGTGGGTAACACCTTATTTTATTACTCTTTATGCACGCTGTTAATTGTTACATCATATTTTCAGAATTGATATTTAATTAGGATTTAGCTGTTATTTTAATTTTGTTAATTACTTCATTTAACGAAGTCGTTAGAGATAGTAAAGTGTTGATAACTGTGAAACTGTAAAATCGCCAACGAGTTATCTACAGAAGTAACGCCGTGATTTCTAAATTTCACATTTAAATGAATAAGTTTTATTGACAGAATTTCTATCTTTTAATCTTTCTAACTTAGATAAGAAAAACTGTAGTTAACTTTAGATAAGAAAAAATAACTAATTATTTAACTTAAGATAAGATAAGAAACTTTAGATAAGAAAAAACGTTTTGTTTTATTTTTAACTTTAGATAAGAAAAACTGTAGTTAAATTTAGATAAGAAAAAAATAACTAATTATTTAACTTAAGATAAGATAAGAAACTTTAGATAAAAAAAAGTTTTCTTTTATTTTTAACTTTAGATAAGAAACTTTAGATAAGAAAAAAAATAAATCACCTTTAAGTCAAAGATATATTTGGACATCTTAAATAAATAATATCTAACACATAATACATAAGGATTCAAATATGAGAATAAAATTACAATTTCAAAGGATGCAAGAAAATATTTTTAAGATTCACTTTTTCTACTAATTTTTAAACTGCGATAATATACTGACAATGCAGTTTCTTTCTTTTGCATTTCTAAATCCTAGAATATATAATTAATATTTCTTATTTTAGGAATTCGTATCTCATCATTAAAATATCAATAAGTAATCAGATTTAAAAAACAATTTAAAAAATGTTTTAAATTGTACTAATTGTAAATTTAACTAAAAATGTTTAGTTTGCATAGATGCAGAATTCCTGGATCAGTATGGGTATTCTTGGATCAAAAACGTACAGTTGGTTAGGAGACCTTGAAACAAAGTTTACTTTTCATGAAGTTCGTATGCTTCGACTTCAATTCCTATATATCCAAAATGTTGTAAAAGATAATTACGTCTATATTCAGAGCTATTAAAGAATATACAACATTAAGCTCTAGACATGGACTCAATTTTTTGCACCAAATTAACAGTCATCGAATAAATTCCTCCACAGCTTTAACTAAATGTCAATGCTTTGGTAGAGTGTGGAAGAGATCCTCCGTATTATTACAGCAATAGTAACCTGGAAATATAAAAGTAAAACGTCAGTAAAATTATAAACGTCTAACGAATAAATTAAATGTAAAATAACTGATACTTTATTTTATTTTGTAATAAATCTCACATCTTGAAAGATTTTGAAATAATGAGGCAGAAGGAAAAGTAAATGCATATCCTATATGTATATGTACACTCTTCACACACAAAACAATAGGACAGTTCTATATCTCCTGTTTTACTGGACCTATCGAAGGAAATTGAGTTTTCCTTGCCTCGAAAGCGCGACTTAGGATGCATGTTAGATTTATATATGTTACTGTGAAACACCGAAATCTGGAGAATGTCGACTTTCACCGGTGAATGTCAACATTCACATAGTCTCTTGGTGTATGTCCTAAATATTTTCCAAATACTCTTATTTCTGACTTACACCGGTCAATGTCGACATTCACCATGTACTAGTGGTGAATGTTGAACATATAACAATATATATTTTTTTCTTTCCTATCGTCGCGAATAAACGCACTTGAGACTTGAAATAAGAACTTAAGAACATGAGAACCTAAAACACAATACATTCAAATGAAAGGAAAATAATAGAAGTTAAAAACTTACTTAATTATACAGTACGTTCTAATGAGAAAAAAATAACAGTCATAAAAACTTACTAAATTATGATTCAAATCTTATTTATTGCAACAACTTAAACTTATTATGGCACTTTATGACCTCTCTTTTCGACTTCACACGCATGCGTGATGTTGACATATACCGGTGGGTCCGAATACAAGATGTAGTAAAATATTCGGTCTTTCACCGACGTATTTGGTGAATGTTGATATTCTCCGGTGAAAGTCGACTTTCTCCAATTTCGGTCTTTCACGGTAACATATATAACAGTGTTTTAACATAGGAATTTTGATGAAAATTCGAACGTTTTCTGAAATGATATACACATTTTTTACCATATTTCCATTCTACCACTCAAATTATGTCTAATTATTAAATACTGTAAAATATGGTGATAAACTTACCAACAAATTCAAAAATTTACCTTGGCGCATTTTTTGGGTTTGTGGCAAAAATAATTCACCTCGCGAAATTCTTACATTTACGGTAACGTATTGCCCTTTCCCTTTCGTTGCGAACAAGTGGAAAAAAAGGTGCATCATTCATTTTTTCAAATAAAATTAACAAAGTGTAAACCACATTAGAATTGGTTTCAACATAAGGCAAATACTTAATATTTCGCTGAATTAAACTAGATTTGTTTACAGTTCATAATAAACTATATCCGTATTAATCAAACACAGCAGATTTCTATTGATTTTAGTATGTATTTCATGAATCTTCCAGTTTAGTATTAAAAAAATAATTAATTTTTTGATTTTAAGTACCCTATGTTTCAGAAAGAATATATGCGTTACAAAATGTTATTTTGAACAAACTATCTATCACTGCGCTTCTGCTCGGCTTATGACGAAACGAAGAAATAGTTTAGTTTATAATATTAGCCGCTAGATGTCAGTTGTCAACTGTTTTGCGTGGTAACCGTCACATGTTTAAAATGGCTACTCCGCAGCAGAAATCATTTTGTGTTTTCGAGTTTGCGAAGTGCAATTCCGTGATTAGAGTGCAAAGACGTTTCAAGTTGAGGTACCAAAGTGATCCTCCGAATGGGTGGAACCGTCGCAGATGGTATCGACACTTTGTAAATACAGGATGTGTATGTAAAGGAAAGAGTCCTAGCTGCCCTCGTGTTCCCGACGAAAATGTTGCACGAATTCAAACTGCTTTCCAACATAGCCCTTCAAAATCAACTCCTCATGGCAGCCGGGAGTTAGAACTCCCTACAACAACAATTTGGCGCGTTTTGAGACGTCGGTTGGTTATGAAGCCATACAAGGTACTTTGTTGCAGACTCTGCGTCTTAAAGACAAACGCAAACGTGGGGCATTTTGTATCGAGATTATTGATGCTATTGACAATGATAACATTTTTGCACAACGCATCGTGTTCAGTGATGAAGCGACTTTTTATGTTAGTGGTCATTTAAACAAACACAATGTTCGAATTTGGGGCCTGCAGAACCCATATGCAGCCATTGAACTTGCACGAGATTCGCTTAAAATCAATGTGTTTTGTGCGATATCCCGATCATCTGTTTACGGCCCATTCTTCTTTGATGGAAACAAGGTTAACGGTCAACAATATCTCGCTATGTTACAAATCTGGTTGTTTCCGAGGCTGCACGAAGACAACTTCATTTTTCAACAAGGCGGGGCACCCCCTCACTGGTGTCGCCAAGTGCGTGATTATCTGAATGAAACTCTACCGAGCCGTTGGATTGGTCGTCAAGGACTTATATAGCATGTCTCAGCTGGAATACACAGTCACCGGATTTGACACCACACTTCTTCCTATGGGGTTTCATTAAAGACAATGTTTATGTACCACCACTCCCACAGAACCTGGAAGAGGTGAAGAACCGGATCCACACTCATGCTTGCCCGCGTATGGGAGGAATTTGAGTATCGATGTGATATCGTTCGTCTCGCTGATGGAGGACATATTGAACATCTGTAACATCTGCAATCTGAACTTGAAAGGTTCGTACATATGTATGTAAAGTTTGACATTTGTATGTCATTTACTAATAAATATATGCATTCGAAATATGTATATTCTTTTTGAAACACGTTGTATTTAAGAAAATTACATGATCTCTATATATTAATTACTGTTAGAATTACTAACTTAAAAATAGGGTTTTGTATATCCTGAATAACTTCAACAGGGAAAAAACTTCTTTTTGTATTATTAGAATATCCTTCAACGGTCAACAGATTATACACTTCCGCGTAACTAAAACTTAAAAATCTCAGCTAAAATGAGCTTGCATAGAATTTCATTATACGATAATAAAGATAAAAATAAATCGTTTTCGTAATAGAAGCAAATTAAGGACATCCACATCACTCAAATCGTAGAAAATAATGTCAAAACCTGAGACTTGAAGATGTAACTGTAATATATAAATTTGTGTAAATTTTATCTGTGCTTATAATTTAACTAATTCCAATATTATGAATTCAGTATTTGGAAAAACTTAAACGTAAACTTAGTATTTGGTTTGGTACATTGAAGGTAATATTATGTATTTTCTTACTGTTTTCTTCCTCTACAAAATGTGGCGTAAAATAAAGAGTCAATACAACCAGCATCACTGCAATGACAATAATCGTCGTGCTGATGGCTACAACAACGCAAGTGGCTCTACTCCTTTCCTCTTCCACTTCTTCGGTCTCGAAACCCTCTTCCAAGTCTCGTTTTCGCTTCTGGTGGTCTCGTCTCTTTTTGTTGCGACTGTCACTTGAAGAATGGTGTGAGGATTTTTGAGACTCGGTGTCCTTGTGTGAATGGCGGGATTTCGAGCTTGGTGATCCACCTTGGCTGCGTTTCGATCTGCAAAAACATTCATACACAATATTTAATTTTGGCAGATATTTAAAATATGATCGCATATGCTATGTCCACAAAATCCCTTATGCGGTCTTCTTTATGCAACCATTGGTCGTTCACATATACTTCCAATTAAAGAAACCCAAAAAAGTTTTTAACTTGCTCAAAAATGAACATTTTTATTTTAAAATTAAAAAGTCAGTTTTTTAAAATTAAAAATTTAACTTCTTAAGGAGTCCTTCCAGTTTCTATAGTTAGATTTGGTAAAAGTTTTTTTTTTTTTTTTTTTCATTGCAAAGGCACTTGATTATAATCACTAACACCATGCATCAAAGATGCATGAGATTGAAGCCTAAAAAAATTTGAAAATATAATTACAAAAAGACAAAACAGTAATTAACCTCATTACAATAACAGTAACTATTTCGAAACTTGAAAACAGAATAACATATGACTACATTAAGCATTTAAAAAAGAGCCGCCGTATGTCAACTGTATCAATTCTCTAGTATTGACTACATAGGTTTTCTTCCTTCAACGAGGAACATTTTATTAGCAAATGATCTTTGTCCATCTCAAACTTCTGGTTGCACAAAATGAACAAGAACGTATCATATTATACCAATACAACACAGGTTTTTAGCCAGACAATCATATCCGGTCTCCGAACGGAACGCTACAACTGCGATGCGTCTGGGAGAGTCCGGGATATTAGAAATCGAATCTCTCCACTTTTAATTCTTAGTTTCTTCAAGTAATTTAGTATCAAAAATCTTTCCTCATAATAATTTTACTATTCTTTTCATTAATGTAAATGGTAGCCCACTATTATTTGATTGAAAAATTTCAGTTCCATTTTTAGCTAGTTTATTAGCCCATTCTTTGCCAGTTATTCCAACATCAGCCAGATCTACTGCAAGGGCCATCCTTTTTGAGGCTAAAAGAAAAAGAATGATTTTGCAAGATTCAATAATTTTTGATACCGCGACATTATCTGCAGGAATCGCTTGAATGGCTGAAAGGGAATCTGAAAACGTTGAGTTGGATTGTTCTAACAGTAAGTTGATTGTGTTGGATTGTTCTAACAGTAAGTTGATTGTGTTGGATTGTTCTAACAGTAAGTTGATTGTGTTGGATTGTTCTAACAGTAAGTTGATTGTGTTGGATTGTTCTAACAGTAAGTTGATTGTGTTGGATTGTTCTAACAGTAAGTTGATTGTGTTGGATTGTTCTAACAGTAAGTTGATTGTGTTGGATTGTTCTAACAGTAAGTTGAGTTGGATTGTTCTAACAATGGCAATACCAGTTCTGTTCTGTTCTAACAGTAAATTGTTCTAACAGTAAGTTGAGTTGGATTGTTCTAACAATGGCAATACCAGTTCTGTTCTGTTCTAACAGTAAGTTGAGTTGGATTGTTCTAACAATGGCGTTGAGTTGGATTGTTCTAACAGTAAGTTGATTGTGTTCTAACAGTAAGTTTTGAGTTGGATTGTTCTAACAGTAAGTTCAGTTGCAATTCTAGTAGGACACGAACGGGGGGAGAAAACATGTTTATTATTCCAAGTACAACAAAAACAAAGAAATAACAACATAAAGTGACAACGATCATCAGTAAAGAAGGTGTTGGAAATTACCTCCCGGACCGTGATGCAGAGACCGTGCGTCATGCATCTTCCATTCGATCTTCCATTCGTGATGCAGATCTTCCATGCGCTAGAGAAGTGAGGCCTGCATCACGGTCCGGGGTCGTAATTTCGAACACCTTCTTTAATGATGATCGTTGTTTGTTTTCGTTTTTATTTGTAAGTTTCTGCTGTACTAAACTTAATAAAACATGTTTTGTGTGTTTGTTTGTGTCCTTCCTTTTTACCGTTTTGTATCTTCTCTACCGTGCCAGGAAAGCGTTTTCGACCATGCATTGCTATGTGATTTCACTTCGTCTAGGTTTATTGTATCTCTCCTGAAAGTTGTCACCGCTGTACTAATACAACCTGTATATGAAGCCAATTTTTTTTGGATACCTGGAGTAAAATGTGTCCATGATAATACTGAAAAAACAACCCATTCGTCCAAGTTAAATAGAACTCTTACGTTTATCACAGATATTTCGGATATTTCACTTCTAATGATGGTTTCGGAAATGTAGTAACTGTTACTTCAGAGTAATTAAATCGAAATTTGTGAAGAGAGGGTGCAAAACGATTCCTCACGTGTCGCCCTTTACGATCGATTTGTCTTAGAATTTCTACGATCGATTTCACCGATCAAGAATACTTTTAAAAGCTTTCTTTTGACACGTCGTGATAGAATTCACCATCAATTGTTAATGACTTCGTTTTAGCATACATCAAATAATGTTTAATTATAATATTAAGTAAATGTTTATCCTCATTACAAAAATAAAGCACAAAACACTTGATACGCATAACATATCAGTGTAGGAGAGAGTAATATATTAAGAATTGCTGAAGAATGCCATTTAAATTTTTACATTTCCTGGTTGTAGTAAATGATCTCAACCAGTGGTATTTTAGAAATTCTGCTATTAATTCGTAGATTTTAAAAGTGCCTTACAGTTTAAAATGGAAGGCTAACAAATCAGGTCATGATCTTCAACAGAAGAAATTACTAATTGTTAATAAATGACATCATTTTTGAAATCTAATTTTCCATCATTGTATCCTATTCCTGCACTCCGGTTTTAAATAACGTCAGGTTTCTTTTAATATTTTCAAAAGGAACCCATTATATAAAGAAGATGAAATTTAAAATGTAATCTAATAAAAACTGGATTGTTTTTAGCAGAATTCCACAATATATTTGAAGAATTATTGGTATAATGTATACACACCACACATACACTGGTGTGCAAAAATTAAGGACGAGACGGTTTTTTTCAATGTAACTTTGTACAAAAACTTTCCAAATCAACATATTTTATAGCGTAAGATCCCCAATACGTAAGGACATGAGTAATGTAAGCAACACTTACTAAAAGAGAAATCAGAGGGATAAAAAGAAGCTTTATTGAAAACGTAGCATGGAGTGCAATACGACTGAAGGCCGAAACATCCCTGTGATGGGTGTCCAGCAAGAAACATACGGTCTTTAATAGGGGATATGATCTCCCCTGACTGCTAGGCAGGTTTCACAGCGTCTGCCCATGCTGAGAACGAGGGTGTCAATGAGTTGTTGAGGCATTGCTGCCCATTCGTCTTGCAGCGCCAATCGAAGCTCCGGAATCGTTACTGGTGGTAAGGTACGAGCTGCCAAGCGTCTGCCTAGAAAATCCCATACATGCTCGATGGGATTGAGATCCGGAGATCGTGCCGGCCAATCCATACGTTCAATATCCTCACTCTCTAAGAGCTGTTCGGCAGCTACTGTGCGATGACATGGTGCATTGTCGTCCATGAAAAGGAACTGCGGACCCATAGCGCCTCTAAAAAGACGCACATATGGAAGAAGAATCTCGTTACCATAACCGGTCCCGTTGACTGAACCTGCGTCGAAGATGTGAAGGTCTGTACGACTACCAAGCATGATGCCTCCCTAAACGAGAACACCGCCACCTCCATACCTGTCCCTTTCAATGATGTTCGAGGGATGATTGCGGCTTCCCGCTCTCTCCAGATGAGTATGCGATGAGAATCGCTACTCAGACTGAATGTGCTCTCAACTGTAAAGAGTACTCGTCCCCATTCATTGTCTCTCCAATTCCGGTGTTCCCGGCACCACAGAGAACGCCTTCTCCGATGGGCAGGCGTTAGAGGTACACACCGTACAGGGCGTCGTGCAAACAGACCACCACCGTGCAGTCTTCTGGCCACGGTAAAACGCGATATCGGTCGTCCAGTCGCCTGTGTCCTGTGTCTAGCGATTTCTCCCGCTGTCTGCCGCCTGTTTTTTCTGGCCTGTAAGGCAATATACCGGTCATCTGCGGGTGTAGTTCCTCGTGGACAACCACTACTAAACCCCCGGATAGCTGTTCCTGTAGTTTGAAATTGTCTCCAAAGTCGTGAAACGATGCTCTGAGCAATTCGAACTCTGCAACCACACTTGTTATACTGCGGCCTTCCTCCAACTTCCCAATGATTCGACCTCGGGTAAAAGCATCCAGATGTCGTCTAGCAAATTGATTATTCGCCATTTCTCGCTGAGGCAGCAACTCGGTGTGATTTTAACTGCTATACGGCGAGCAATCTCTTTGCAAGAAATTCTGATCTTACACCGACAACATGCTTTATACTACTCAGACACTCCCCCATTACGTCTACCTGCATATCTGCGCATGTGCTACCGTACATCACCTTACTTAATCTCCTGATTGGTCTTTCTGTCCGCTCTGCCTCTTCGTTCAGCTGATATACTAATTTTTCCACTTCTTCCTTAATTTTTGCACACCAGTGTATGTTCGTGCTTACATGAACACATACATCCATGCATACATGAACACATACATCCATACATTTCTAGATCCAGTCCTGATTACAGAACAGTACCGAATTATTATAAAAATACAGCAAACGTTTCGCATGGCATATTGTTCTTGAGTACCCTTATAATTCTCTACTATTTTCAGGACATAAACCGCTTTGACTAAACATAAAGCATGCCTCTTAGGTATTACAAAAAAATAAAAATTATTTATACTTCATCGCTTTTCTCAGATGTTGAGTAAACTACTACAGTAACAAAATTTTGACCAATAGTATTTGAGGGGTGTTTTGCAGCTTTTTTAATTTTTTTTTTTTAAATCATATCTTCTACTAGAGAATTAACGAGGGAAAACTTGTATTCTGTAAACATTAACATTCAAGAAACGTATATTAAACCGTTAAAAGTCATAAACATATATTAACAGCCAAGAAACTTATATTAAACGTATAATAAACCATTATTATTCATAAACGTATATTAATATTCAAGAAACGTATATTAAACGTGTATTATTATCGCAGTTTCGAGATTGAAAGATCTTTTCTCTAACACGACGCGTCAAA